CCTGGAGAGCGGCCAAACAGCCACCTCTTTTTCTTCCCTTCTAAAAGATTCCGAAGAAAGAGCAAATTTGCTCGCTTCTTTCTAGACTCCATCATTGGCTGTCCTCCTTTAACACGGAGGAGAAAGCTCCAGTTTTTGTATCTGTGTGTTTGTGTGTCTCATGTTTGTTCTGAGGCTCAAAAACTTTACCCAGGACAGCATTTTTTAATCTGGAGGGAAACCATCCTCCGTGGAAACAGGATGCTCCCTGAGCAATGAGGGTTGAAGTCTTGAAAGGACAAGCAAGAGTTCAGATGGGAAAACAAGCCGTATCCTGCAGTTGCACAATTCGGAGAGGAAATCTGGGCCCTCATCGCCTGCCAAAATGACCAGCTGGGGACCGGCCGGCTCCGATCTTGGTTGTTTGTCCAGGAAAATGACAGCCGGAGGGTGAAACGGGGGACTTCCTGAAAATATGTAAATACCTTTCTCTCTCTCTCTTTCCCAGAGTCAACGCAGCTGCTGAGCTCCCTCACAGCACGGCGAGGCAGAGGAGTTCGAGCAAGCCCGAAGGTGTGCACACAAGTGTGTCTGTGTGTCCAGCGACCGCTCCCAACATGAAGGTCTTGGGGTTGCCCATCTTGACCGTCCTCTTCTTAGGCATCTGCCCTGCCTTTGGTGAGTCTTGAGCTCCCCAACTTTATTTCTGCACATTTTTCCTCTGCCATTCATCTCCCTTTAGCATCTCCCAAAGTTCAGAGGCCTCCAGATATCTTGGGGAATTAAATATAAAAATCACCGGACCACCTTATTCCTCTTCGTGACTGGCCTCAAGACTTAATTTTCAGCATTAAACACTTACCTGCTGTTGGAGATAACTTAAAGAGTTTCTCCCCCCCCACCACCTTCAACCCTCCCTGGGACTTTTACAAGTTTCTGCATGAAAGGGAGAGATTTTATTTTATTTAAAACACTTTTACCCTTGCTTTCTCCTTTAAAAAAAAGTTTAACTGGGGAGTAACTCTCTGGGTATATCCTGCTGGCACACAATGAGTCTGGATTAGAGTGGGAGGGACTCCTTTGAATAAGAAAACTTATTAAAAGAAATTATTTCCTGTTACTTAGGATTACGCTTCCCAGCACCTAGAATTCGTTAATGTCACCCAGGACAAGTTTTTTAGAAAGTAGCTGCTTCCGCAGCTTGTTGTTCTTTGGCTTGTTTGTCTGTCGATTTATTTTCTTTTTTGTCCATTTGTTTTGGAAAAACCCTTATTTATGAAAGAAAGTCATAAATCCTGAAACTTCCTACGTGGCCTTTAATTTAGCTAACTTAATGCATTTTTTAGTGTATTATTTTTATGTTGCTGTTTGCGAACCGCCCAGAGCGGCCGTTGGTTAGATGGGTGTTGCAATAAAATAAAAATAAATTTAACATTTTAACAAATGATACGTGGCTTTCCGCCCTTTGAGCACCACAAAGAATAGGCTGGGAAGAAATAAAATTGTCAGGAGATGGGCCCTTCCTTCGTGCTAAAATAGCTAAACAAAGCTTCCAAACTGAGAGGCAGTCTACCTTTGAAACTCCAGACTTCCCTCTTCCCCAGGAAACGTGGCATCAGTGGTGATATTCATTCTTTTCCAGGGGGTCGCCCCAGGGGACCGCCCCAGGAAACGTGGCATCGGTGGTGATATTCTTTTCCAGGGGGTCGCCCCAGGGGACGGATCCTCCGTGGCCAGGAAGCCGGCGCCCACCAGATGCCGTACATGGCCTCCCTGCAGGAGGATGGGAAGCACGTCTGCGGGGGCTTCCTCATCGCCCCGCAGTGGGTGCTCAGCGCCGCGCACTGCCTGGAGGACACGTAAGTGGCCTGTGTTTCTAAAAAGAACCCCCCCCTCCAAACTGTTCCCTAGGAGGCCGCCCTTTGAAGGGGGCTCCAGTGAGGGGAACCCCTTGTTTTTGGGGTGGGGGGATCGTAACCGGACTCCACCCCCCCTCTGCTGCAGGGTCAACGGGACGTTCCAGGTCCTTTTGGGGGCTCATTCCCTCTCCAACGATGAGCCCCAGAAGCGGCTGTACAGCGTCCGTCGCCTCATCCCCCACCCTGGCAGTGGCCGAGACCACAACAACGACGACCTGCTGCTTCTCCAGGTGGGTGGGTGCTGCTCGGGGGGCCCCTGTCGGCCTCCTCGCCTCGGGAGTGAAGTCTCGTTCTTGCTCCGACTTATGGCGACCCCCTGAATGAGCCATCTTTTTGCTTTCCCCTGCCCTGCGGGTCTCCTCTTCCAGCACTATCTCTTCTTTCACGTTTGCCCCTTCTCAGCCATCTACTCGCCTCCAGTTCCTGGGCGATGCTACGAAGGAGCACTCTGCAATGTGTCCTCTCCCCATCAACCCTGCTCCACTCCTGTAAACTCAAAACCTGTGGCTTCCTTTAGGGAGTCTGTCCATCTTGTATTGGGTCTCCCTCCTTTCCTGCTGCCTTCTCCATCTTTCCCAGCCTTAGAAACCTAAATATCATGGCTAAAGAGATTTCCAGTTTCTCCAACCAGCTGGGAGGCCCATGCTTCGATGGAAGGCTTCCGGCTAGAGATGCCGCTATTTCACAAAGGCAACACAGGAGCAAAACCCACAATAAACTGAAACAAACGCAGGCAATGGTGTTCCCTCGCATGGTGGAATCAGGCTGCAGAATCAAGGCACAGGATTTTCCAAAGGGTTGGAGGTCTTGCTGGAGAGCAAGGGGGGGAGGGAGGATCGGCATCCATGGGCCTCCCTCCTGACGGCTTTAGCCGGCTCAGTCCTCCCAGGGCCACGGACGCCTCACAGAGGACTCTTTGTTAGCTTCTGTGCCAATGTCTGGTTCCTTCTCATCTCCTCTTTGATGTTCTTTCCTTATCAACATAATAAAGTCTGTTTGTTTAACAAAGCTTTTTTCCCCATCCGGCTCAACATTCACTTCCTCCTCCTCCTCTGTTCACAAGCTCACCTTTCTCTTTCGGGTGCCAATTTCATCTTGTCGGGCTTCGGGTTCTGCAGAGAGAACCAGGCGGACTTGCTTCCCGCTCCTCTCCAGCCTCATCATCTCCAATAGCCTTTGTCCCAAGTCTTCCATTTGGGAGCCTCCAATCCCAAAGAGGGGCTCCAAGCATCAAGACCACCCTCATCGTTCTCTTTTTAATTTTCGGGTCCTGAAGTTCGAAATCTGGTGCCCAAAATGTGCCACAGCTTGCCCCCACCGAAGGCCCATAAAACCCTGCAAAGCTAAAAGGGGGTGCTGAGGTCAGCGTGCGGACAATTTGTTCTCCCGTCGTTTTTGTGGATCTTACTGACGTGAAGCAGGAGCTTGCACAGTAGGATCCTCATATCTGTGGGATCCGTATCCGCTGATTCACTTATCCACGGTCCGAAAATATTTTAGGAATTAAAAGGAAAATGCTAAAAATATACAGTATAGGGAAAAGGCTGTGTGGTTGCAAAATGTGCTTCTAAAGACAAAGTTATCAGAACTGGTCACTAGAGGGAGCTAGAGACCATTCTATGAATAACATTTGCTCTTAAAATAGTGTTTGCTACAATCCACATTTTTCAGCATCCGCTGAATGGGCTCCCTGCAGATACGGGCTCCTACTCTATTTGCAGAGGAACAAGAAATCCTTGGGATACCACTAAGGGCGGGAAGAAGCCTGTAGCCTCAAAAATGGCACCCGCAAGAGCCTGTCGGTGACCCCCACCTGCAGAAAGAGGGGGATTGAGGCAAAGGAAAACCATACAAATTGTTCACTTGACATGCCAAAACCTGGTTGTGAACCTTCACACTCACCCTGAGAAGTCTGACTCTTGGTGAACATGCCATGAGAGCTGGCTTCTCCCTCTAACTGGTCTCTTGCTCTGTCTTCCTCCCGCACTCATCCACCAACCAGCTGAGCGAACCAGCGGCCCTCGGGACCCATGTGCAGACTCTCCCCCTCCAGAGGGAGGACCGAGAAGTGCCCGCTGGCACCCTGTGCCGGGTGGCCGGCTGGGGGGTCACCAGCAACACCGGGAAGCGCCCGGACAAGCTGCAGTACGTGGACCTGCCCGTCATGAGCCGGGCCCAGTGCAACGAGCGGACCTTTCACGACGGCGACATCACCGAGAAAATGATGTGCGCCGAATCCAAGCGGAAAGATTCGTGCAAGGTACGTGGGGGGTTCAAGCGGGAGAGGGTGTTTCTCATTCCCCGGTGCAGTGTCTAAAACACAGTGGCTAACTGCAATGTTCCTAACGGCCCACAAACTCTTATTTTTAATTGGAGGCAGGATTCCATGTTTCCTCTTGAGTTTAGCTCTCAAATATTTGTCAGTGAGGAGGAAGGAGGAACAAGGTGTTTCTGAGCTTTTCTTGTTGTCCCAAAAGGCGTTTTAAATGGACCATGAAGAGCCATTGAGTGCACAGAAGACCTGCTCCCTCTGGGGAAGATGCAAAGTGCCGGATTGTGATGGACCAACCAAAATTCCTGCATTTTTACTTTCCTTGGGGGAAGGGGGAGGGATTGCATGCATCTGAGGACTGATATGATTAAGACCCTCCCCACACTCAAAATGTACCACTTCCGTCACTCTGTGTCAGAGAAAGATGCAGTCCTCCAATACATGAGGACAAAGTGCCTAAGAACACAGGCAAACCCCTGTCCCTTAGTCTTAGCTGTGGCAACAGCACAGATCCTCCCTCTGCAGAAGAAGTCTACCTCTGATTATCAGATGGTAGGCCACAGCTTGCTGAAGAGGGCGAGAAGCTAGACATTGGGCCAGCAGTGTTTAATGGAGTGGGCCAGCATTTGTTTTTTTTCTCTCTCTCTCTCTTTTTTTTCTGGTTAATTCTTTTGCAATAATTTAACACGTTTTGTTATGAGGCTTTAACTGGTTCCAAATCAAGCTTGGAAATCCTTTCTAGCTTTGACCGCTTGCCAAAACCCAGATCGTGTAAAAGCCATAATTCAACAGCTGCACCTGGAGTGTGACTTAAGATGGGAACTCAAATGGAAATGTAAAGGCAGGGGGCAACCCGGAACAATTTTACGTTTAAACAGAAATGAAGAGAGAATCTCGGGGTGGCCTTAAAAACCAACGGGTTTCCTTGGGCCCCCGTTTTTTTGCCCACATCTTTCAAGATCTTCAGAACCACCTTGTGAGGTAGTCTCGTGTTAAGGCTCGAATGGAGGCACAGAGCTCGGAGAATTCACTGGGTTGGTAAGATTCGAACCAGGGACTTTCCAATTTCCAGCTGAGCCCGCCCGGATGCAACTCTGTGCTGTTCCCTTTTTACAGGGGGAAGGAGTAAGTTGAATCCCGTGAGCCTTACTTCCGAGGAGCACAGGGGTAGAGTCCCCATGTTAAGACTTCCGAGGCTCAAACCGTTTGCTGGTATCTCTCCCTACCCCCTACATTTCTCCTTGCAGGGCGATTCTGGCGGGCCCCTGATCTGCAACGGCATGGCCGAAGGGGTAGTGGCCACCGGCTCCCGTGTCTGCGGCAACTGGAAGAAGCCCGGGATCTACACCCGGATCGCACCTTATCTCACCTGGATCAATGAAGTCATGGGGCTGGCCAACTAGCCCACCGCCCACAGCAGTCGCTTCTTGAGATACAGCGGCCCGCCCAGGGAAAGCGCTGGATTTCAAAGGCGGGTGGTGTTTGAGGGTTGGGTGGACTACAGCTCCCAAAATCCACCAGCCACCACAGCCATCCTGGCAGCAGGATTATGGGGTTTGTAGTTCCCTACCAAAATAAACGTTTTTTGAGCTACGGATACCATTTCCTAATAAAACACATAGCAATTGTGTATATGAATAAACAGTACACAGCATCACAAAAAAAGACTCTTTTATCCAGCTTTTGTGTTTTAAGGAGCTTTTTCCTTTAAAAAAAAGTTTTTCAAAGGTGGGATGAAGTTTCCACACCCATGGGCTCGTGAAGTCTCTGGGAAAGAAATAAAAAACAGCAGAGTGACAGCCGACGGGTGGATTGCTGAGAAGCAAATGCACAATCTGGTCCAGCTCGTAATTTCACAAGCGCTGGATTTCAAAGGCGGGTGGTGTTTGAGGGTTGGGTGGACTACAGCTCCCAAAATCCACCAGCCACCTCAGCCATTCTGGCAGCAGGATTATGGGATTTGTAGTTCCCTACCAAAATAAACCTTTTTTGAGCTACGGATACCATTTCCTAATAAAACACATAGCAATTGTGTATATGAATAAACAGTACACAGCATCACAAAAAAAGACTCTTTTATCCAGCTTTTGTGTTTTAAGGAGCTTTTTTTTAAAAAAAAAAGTTTTTCAAAGGTGGGATGAAGTTTCCACACCCATGGGCTCGTGAAGTCTCTGGGAAAGAAATAAAAAACAGCAGAGTGACAGCCGACGGGTGGATTGCTGAGAAGCAAATGCACAATCTGGTCCAGCTCGTAATTTCACACGCCCGCCCAAGAAGCTGAGTCTAAGTTTAGGATCCACAATGAATCCTTTGTGGCTCCTGCTTCTGTCATCACAGGGTTGAAGGGATCATTGGTGATTCGAATTGAGCAAATAGCCAGTCTCTGAGTTCACCAGGCATCAAAGGTGTGTGCTGTGGGACCCCTGTATCCACGGGACCAGTATCCGTGGATTGACATCCATGGTCTGACAATATTAAAAGAAAAATGCGCAGAAATAGGCTTTTCGAAGGATGAAGTTGCCAGCACTGGCAAATTCCATCATCCCTCACTAGGCTGCCTGGGGATGACGGGAGTTGTAGTCAAGTGATAGCTGGTGAAGGCACACACACAAACACCACCACGATAAAGACTGGCAGTGGAACAGTGTTTCTAAATTTCCTTTGTTCATGTCTGAAGCCATCTGGGAATCCCAGCGTTTCTGTTCCTTGGGAAGCTTCTTCTGTGGCCCCCCTTTCCTAATTATGGGCTATGCCCGAGACCCTTGGTGGGCCAAAGGGCCCGCTTGCCTGCCCGCCCGCCTGCCTCTTCTTCCCTCCTCCGCAGCTATAGGGGGTGTGCGCACCCTGCTCATGAGTAGCCCAGGGGCATTCGCTTCCACAGCCCTCCACAGAGGCAGGTCTTGATCCAGCGCTGTTCCCACTGCTTCACGGCTGTGGCCTTGTTCGGGGAGCGCAGCATCGTGACACAGCCGCACCTGGAAGGGGGGGGGAAGAGACGGTGACGCCTAGAGGAGCCCCAGCCCCGATCCATTCCCCCTTCCGCTTGTGGGGAGGGTGGAGGTGTACAGGGGGGGCAGCCTCAGGGCTCAATTTACCTGCTACCCCCCCCAATCTAGTCCCTAGGATCTCCCTCCCTCCCCCCCCTCTCTCTCACACACATATATTTTGAAAAAATGCACACTCCAATCCTAGAGTTTGGGTTTCGAGGGGCCCCTAGCAGTAGAGAACTTGACGAACATTTTATTATTATCCTTCGGTTAAAATATAGGAGGTCCCCCCATATCTGCAGGATCAGTATCTGCTGAGCCCCTTATCCACGGTCTGAAAAAAATTATTAAAGGGAAAATCCTAGAAATATAGATTTCTAAAGATTGCATTACCAGAACTCGTCACTAGAGAGAGCCAGAGACCACTGTATGGATAGTGTTTGTTATTAAAACAGCCTTTGCTACAATCTGCGTCTTTCAGCGGTCTTGAAATCCATCCCCTGTAGACACGGGGGTCCTACTGTATGTAGGGGCTTGGATTCTAACGGGCCTTGGTGGTGCGGCATAGTGGTTAGAGCGCCAGACCTATGTTTGTGTCCAAATCTTGGCCGTGACATCAGTAGGGCCACCTGGGGGAAGCCTTTCTCTCCCTCCAGCTCACCAAGGACTACCTCGCAGGGCTGTCGTGCGGGCTCAAAGAGGTGGGGCAGCAAAACCACAGAGGACGCCTTGAAGCTCCTTAGAGAAGAGGGGAGGGGAGGGGGGTGGAACTGTAATGAAGGGAAGGGCAATCACCTGGTGCAGGATTTGCATTCCTCCGTAGGATACGTGCCCAGGTAGATCCGCCTCAGATGGTCGATCTTGGGCTGCCCAGGGGCCCTGGAGTGAAAGGGGGTGTCATGAAACATGGCCCCTGGCGATGGGAAGGGGGGGCTCTGCGACCCAATTTTCTGAGACCCCCCTCCCCCGCCTTGGCCAGAGACCCTCCCCAAATGGCCTACCTGGCGAAGGCATCCAGCTGGAGCGAAGCGGCGTGCCCGGCCAGGGCGGGGGGCTTCCCGAACTGGAGCCGAACCGGCTGCTTGTTCTGGAGTTTGCACATGATGGCGTCGTTGACGGGCAGCCAGTCAAGGTTCGGGATGAGTAGCTGGCTGGGCAGGAGGCAGCATTCGTCCATCAGGGCGTCGTCCGGCTCGCTCGGGTGGTTCTCGTCCCGGCCTTTTGGGGGGGGGGCAGGAGGAGTTGGAAAGGAAAGGAGAAGAGGCTTTTAGGCAGAGGAAGGTGCCCGGTGCTTGGGCTGAGCAGCATCAGTGCCAGCACCCCATCAGGAAATCACCAAAGAGAAAGCAGTTAAAGCAGCCGTCTGTGGGTGTGTGTTTTTTATGTGCTAATTTCTGAGGTAGAAGGCAGCAGGAAAAGAGGAAGCCCCAATACAAGATGGACTGACTCCTTAAAGGAAGCCACAGGCTTTTGAGTTTGCAGGAGCTGAGCAGGAGCTGACAGGACCTTTCAGAGGTGGCTCATTCACAGGGTTTGCCATGAGTCAAAGGCGACTAAAGGGCTGGGACAGGGCAAAACGGAACAAGAGATAGTGCTGGAAGAGGAGACTCTCAGGGCGGGGGGGAAAAGCAAGAGACCTCTCAGAGATCACCCATACATAGGGTTGCTGTAAGCAGGAGGTGACTCGATGACACGAAAGAACTCTTTTTAAAGAATGGCTCAAATTAAAAGCAACAAGTAAGGGTTTTTTTTTTTTAAAAAGAAGTTCAACAAATTCCAAGTTAAATTCCTGCTATTAATGTCCTCCTACTGGAAACATTCACTAATTAGGGATAACGGCCTTCCTTTGCAAACAGATTGTTTCAGAATTCTGAGCGCACGACACAGAGGTGAACAAATTCAAATGGAAAAAGTGGGACAAAAATAAACGAGCAAGCAAGCAAATATAAAGAGTCCAATCCAGAGACGGGAATGACCCCAAAATTCTGGACCAGACAAGCTGTGGAGAGTCAACCGGCCCCTGAAAATGGGGGTGGGTGGGGTGTTATTTTACCGCTCACTCCCAGCAGCACCCTTGGCCCTGATCCTGACACCCATGGGACCTTGAAGGACTCACAGCAGATCCACAGCTTGGTGAGGAGCCGGAAGAGGAGAGACATGCTGTCCTGGGTGTCGGAGGTGGCCGTGTAGATGGGGAGGCAGCTGGGCTTCAGCAGGCCCCAGATGCGGATCATGACCATCAGCTCCCGCAGCATGCTCAGGGCAGCCCCGTCACGCAGGAAGCTGTGACCGGGGCGGACGGGGCCGGATCCCTAGGGGAGGAGCGGGAGAAAAGAGGAGACGTGAGTCCCGAAGGGCTGCCTCGCAGGCAGCAAATGATGAATCCCCCTCATTGCACGAGCCCTCGGGGAGCCCTAATATTCGTAGGAAAAAGTGAACCACCTCAATGAAGCCGGGATCCATTGCGGGGGGGGGGGAGAGAATCCCTCTCAGAAGGCCTGCCGTGCCATTCTGTACATGGGCGAGAAGGAGAGGGAAGCATCCCGGTAGACTTCACCTGATTCGGGAGGCTCGCCAGCAGGTAGAGGACGAAATCGCCGACCCACTGGATGAGCTGCTGGAGAGACTGCAGGGTGGTCATCTCCAACACAAACTCCTCAGTCTTCAGGTTGATCATCACTTTGTCAATATCTAGAAGGAAGAGGGGAGCAAAAATTGGCACGGAGTGCCCCCCTTCCCTGCCGCAGCCCGCTCTCCCCCCCCCACAATGGCAGGTGGGGAGTTCTGGATCTGGGCAGGAGACGTAACCAAACTCGCCAGAATTCAAAAATCCACCCCTGTCGTGGGCCAACCTCCCAAAGTGCTCCCCCGGGGCCAGTCCATCATCTATCGGGAAGAGACCACCATTCAGGCAGGGAATCCAGAACGAATCCCAGACGGGTCCCGGTCGTCCGGCGGCCTCCAAACCCACCCACGTCCGTGATCTTGGAGCAGATCTCGGTCAGCCGGTCGCCAGGGCTTTTATCGGGGGTGTTGAGGACGGGAGGTCGGAGCAGCGACTTGAGGGTGCAGCTGATGGCGCTGAGGAAGAGTTTGGCGTGGTAGTCGCAGACGCGGGCCACCGTGGCCGAGGAGAGCTTGCAGAGTGAGGCCTTCATGGCGATGATGCGGGTGGAGAGGACCTGGGCGCCGAGAGAAGACGGGATGGGGATTGGGCTGGCTTCAAATACCTTTGCTTCCCCACCTTCTCCTTAAAAAAGGACCCAAAAGGGCAATATCTAAAAGGCAAGTGCAATAAATATCCCCACCACCACCAACGAAAAAGTGGCTGGAAGAGCCACGGCAGTCCACAAAAAAATAAGGGAGGGAACTGGGGCCAGCAGGATGCAACCGCACAGGGGGGAGGGGGGCGCCCCACCTGCTGCAGGGCCGCATTCTGACGCATGTACTCCTCGTGGAGTTTCTCCACCAGGTTCTGGACCATCCCGGGCTGGACGTGGAGGAGGATGTCCCACCAGTCGTAGCCGGTCACCATGCAGTACTCCAGCAGGAACAGCAGGTGGCGGAGCGAGATGTTGACGTCCAGGATGTGGCCCATGGAGGGCGAGATCCGGAGCATGCTGAGCTGCAGGAGAGCCGGGCATTGAGAGAGAGTGTGTGCTCAGGAGCCGCTACGATAACTGATCTCCCTTTGGGGAAATGGTTACTCTCCACCACCCCAGCTGTTTTTAGGACGCTTGTTTCCCTTTTCAGGGTCACTCCACACACACACATGCCCTTCCTGGGCTTTCCGACGCGCACCTTCCCGTGGCTATCGATCCCCACCAGGGCCAAGGAGGTCCAGGACATCTGCAGGGCTTTGAAGTGGACTTGGGGGCCACCAGGACGCCTCTTGATGGCCGGCTCGTCCCCCGAGCGCTGGGAGGAGGCCCCGTAGAAGACGGCCATGGCCTGGAGGGAGAGGCGGTGGATGATCTGGATGCTGCCGTCGTGGAAGGCCAGAGCAAGACCTGCGACCCCGAAAAAGAGAGAGAGAGAGAGAGAGAGAGGGACCCCGAAAAAGAGAGAGAGAGAGAGAGGGTGAGAGAGAAGTGGGGAGGACTGTCCCAGTGGGAAACATACATGGAGAGCAGGTGTTAGCCAATATAGGGTGAAATACAGCAAGACCCCCTTATCTGCGGGATCAGTATCCGCTGATTCACTTCTCCAGTCTGAGAATATTAAAAATGCTAAGCGAAAAATCCCATAAATGTATATTACTAAAGTCAAAGTTACCAGAACTGACCACTAGAAGGAGCCAGAGACCATGTGATGTATAGCGTTTGTTATTACTGTACTGTACCTGTGTTTTCAATATCCACTCGGAGACCATGCGATGTATAGCGTTTGCTATTTCTGTACTGTACCTGTGTTTTCAATATCCACAGGGGGAGGGCTTGGAACCGATCCCCCGCGGATAAGGGGGTCCTACTGTACGAAAATGCAGCCCATCCGTCTTAACAAGTCCCATCCGTCTGAAGGAGGCAGGAAAGGGCAGGGGAAGACGGGACGTGTGTTCCAAAAGCCCCCCTCCCCGCCAGGAGCAAAGAGAGAGATGGGCCAAAGGGTACAGCCCGCCAGCGGCCCTCCTCACCCAGGCCCGGGAAGAACTTGGTGTCGTTAGCCACTTTCAGGTCGGTGCTGGTCAAGGAAATGGGTAGCTTGGGAAGGGCCACGGCTGACACCCGGTCCAGGTCGTTGGTGGCCGAGAGGATGCGCCACTTCAGGATCATGGGGGGCTTGTCCCCAACTGAGGAGGAGGAAGAGGAAGAAGAGGGGAGACACGGCCGTTAAGACAAAGAGACGAAGCCCAAAGAGTGGGACACCCTCCAAGCCTCACCCTGCAGCTTGCCTCTCTGCTCTCTCGCTCTCTCACAAACACACACACAAACACACACGCTCTCTCACAAACACACATACAAACACACAAATGGATCTACACGTTGTCAGGGTCAAAACAACCATCCATTAAAAAGCCATCTGCGCTGCACAGGTGGGGAGCCAATTTAAGTCTTTGCCAAATAGTTCATTAGGGACAAAAACAGGTAAGGTGTTCAATTAAGTTGCTCCCCCGGGGGGGGGGAGGGGAGCGTTCGGGGCGCCCTGTTCCCTAGGAGCAGCGGGAGTTAAAGTGGCTTTCCACAATTAAAAATGGTGGAAACGTCAATTAAAACGCTCCCCTTTTGTGTGAGCGAGTCTGTGTGCGCGCGCTTTTGTCTCTTTCCTGCGTCAACGAAATGGCTGTCATTTCAGAGGCATTACGGTAAATAGCCATTCATTCATTTCATTTCAATTTTAAATGTTTTTATTCTCCTTAAAAAGAACCCGAGAGGGAACCGAGAGCGGGGGGGGGGGGGGGAAGGGAAGTGTAAGAGGAATTTTAAAGCAGCTGGAAGTCAGAACTTGATAAACAAGTGACAGCTGCTTCTTAACCACTAGGCCACCCTGCCACCAACTTCTCCTTTGGGCAGGGTGTGTGTGTGTGTGTGTCTCAGGGAGGCTAAAGGCACCCCTGGACTCTCGGTGGCTTTGCACCCCTCCAGAACATAGTCTTGATCATCATCCTCAAACAGCAGAGCTGGAAGGGACCCTATGGATTGAGCTCCTCTCAAGGAGGCCCCATGGGGGATTCAAACTCCCAACCCGAGATCCAGTTATAAAACCTTTTAATTGCCACCTTTTAAAAAGACAAGGTGTGCAGAGGAGAACATATATTTCCAGGAACCCAACATGAGTTTCATAAAAGGAAGCGCGATATTCAGGGAGGGGCTTCCGCCTCTGGGTTCTCGCCCTGGGGTACCACTTAGCCTAAACCAACCTTATTTTATTTATTTATTTATATTTTTTATTTTAGGTTCAAATCTCCGAACCCAGCCCCGAAACGCACAGGGTGAGCTTGGGCTGGCCCTAAATCTCACCCTGACACAATGCTATGGTGAGAGAGGGCAGGAGGAGGGCCAAGAATTCCCACTTCCTGCCAGAACGGGGGAAGATGTGAGTTGAATTTATAAATGAATAAGCAAAATTGAAATTTCTTCCCAAAATTTAAAGGAAAAACAAAACAAAACAACCACACTTTAAGGTTAAATACAGAAAGTGCAGGCACAGTATGAACTCTGTGTGTGTGTGTTTCTTTCTGGGTCTTTTTTTGGGTGTGTGTGTCCTTTCTCTCTTTCTCTCTCAAAAAAAGGCAGTGCCAGCTAACCTCCCACACTCACCAGTGGGCGAAATCTGCTGGAATATGTTGTTGACGGGTAAGCCTTCTTTCCGGAGAGACCAACACTCCACGATGCTGTTGTTCTGGTTAGAGGCACAGAGCAACATCTGGGGGGTGGAAAGCCAGGACCTTGGTTTAATTTCACTTTATAGAACAATGCCCCCCCTTCAAAAAAACCTTCCTTAGCCAAAGTCCCTCTGGACTATGCCCAGCTTGTCTGGAGCAGAAAATACAGTAGGACCACTGTATCCACAGGATCAGTATCTGCTGATTCACTTCTCCACGGCCTCAAAATATTAAGCATATTAAGAGAAAAATCCTAGAAATACATATTTCTAGAGATGTAGTTACCAGAACTGGCCACTAGGTGGCGCCAGAGACCATGCTATGCACAGGGTTCACTATTATCTGCAGTTTTCGACAACCACAGGGGGGGCTTGGAACTGATCCCCCACAGATGCAGGGGTCCTACAGTAAATGAACAAAGGAATAAACAGTTATAGAGTGCAAGACTGGAAAAGGGGTGGACTTGCCTGCTCGGACATGTCCCGCGCAAGGAACTTCAGGTGGGTGATAGCCAAGTACTTGTCCTTCCGGATCGGGTCTGTGGTGCAGCGCATGAAGAGGGACGGCAGGATCTCGGTGTCAATCTTGCACTTCTCGTTCACGACACTGACGCAGACCTTGTAGAACTGGACCGGGGAGGCGCTGCTGCCGTCGGAGGTGGCCACCACGATGTTGCCCCCGCCTGTGAAGGCGATGTCGGCCAGGGCCACCCGGCAGCGCAGGCGGCAGAGGTGCTCCACGGCCGTCAGCACCTGCCCGTTGGGCTTCAGCAACGAGACGGTGACCAGGCCGCTGATGGTGACGGCGATCCAGCCTTCCATGGGCTTCCCACCGAAGACGGTCAACGACGGCGAGAACTTTACCCGCGAAAACTTCTCCCCAAAATTTGGGGCTCCAGACTGGGGAACGGAAGGAGGCCAGAGTGATCCCACAGAGATGGGGAGGAACAGATGAGAAACACTACCCTCCTTTTTCTTAAAACAAACGGTCACAAGAAGACAGGCCTTATTTGTTGAGCCGAGTTCTAAACTGATTAACAACCTCTGGCCCACCTCGCAGGGCTCTAATGCGGACGGAGCGGGAGGAGAGCCAGAGAGATGGGGGGGCAAGGTGTGTGTGTGTGTGTGTGTGTACAATTAACTAACAGTGAACAAACACAATTAATTCATAAAAACGGACCAACAGATCAACAGACGTCCGTACTAGCCCTCTTTTAAAGTCAGCCTCCCAGCCCAGAAGGTCTTTTCCTACCTTCTCGACATGCAAAGCCAGCTTCACCCCGTTGTGGAGCCACGTGAGAGCCACGACTGGGTCCCCCTCCACGGCGCTGCCCACGGCGCTCTCCCAGCTGTTGGCCAGGTGCTCCACCATGCTCCAGCACTTGATTTGCCCGTCGGCATCGGCCGAGAGCAGCCGGGAGCCTGGAGAGGGAAGGGGAGGTCAGGCGCTGACACGGCCGGGCAGGGGGGGGGAAACGACCCCTTTCCTTCTCTGCTTTTTATTCAGGCCTCTTTGTGGAAACTGAGGCTCTCCACAAGACTGGGCGGGAGGGGGAGAAAGGCACTGTCGCACAAAGACAACAGAACGGCTCCCTACCTGACTGGTCCCATTCCAAGCAGGTGATGATTTCAACGTGTCCCGAATTGATGGAATAGACGTCCCAGGGGTGCTCCGTGTCCAAAATGTGGATGAGGTGGGTCAGGTCTGTTGCAGAGAAAGAGAGGGAAGAGAGAAGAGCGAAATGACAAAACCCGAGTCTCTCCAGACAGGAGAAAACACGGCCGTGGCAAACGAGACACCAACCCAGCATTCGTAGGTATTTGATTTTATTTTATTTCCTGCCATTCTCCTGCAACTGGGACTCAAAAAGGTGGCCAACAAAGTTTAACGCCACTGGCAGGAAACAAACCATTCAAAGTCATCACGTTAAAACACAAGGGAAGGGAACTGTAACATTAAAGTGCGATTGAGTTATGAGGCAATGTAGAAAATGCCAGTAAGTGAACACAGCGATACCCCCTTTAAACTTAAGAAGGCCTTTTCTCCCTGGGATCAAACCGTCCAAAGGAGGGCATGGAGACACAACTAACTGATGACACTGGGGTAGACTGCCCCTGTACATGGAGACCGAATTTGGGGAGGGGCTCCTTATTTATTCAAACAACTTGCTAACCGACTTTGCAATGAGGATCAACACCTCATAAAAGACAGACAGAGAAGAGATGATTATTAAACATGTCCAGGACACAGCCGTGTTAAGTCTGTTGCCAAACTGATAAAACAGTCATGTGGGATCTGGAAGATGACAGAGTTTAATCTGGCATAAGCTTGGGTGGTCTTCCTTTCTTGCTCCTCCAGAAGGCTTCAGTCAGAAGAACATGCCATACTCAAATTGTTACAAGACTCTCTGCTCTGTTTGGACAAAGGAACGTGAAGAGCGGAGCCCGTTTTTACCTTTTTCCTCCTCGTTTTTGAGATCAGTGGTGAAAGCGATCAGGTTGCGGCAGGACCAGGCGCAGACCAGGGGCATGGACGGGCAGTGACTGCTCTTCGACCGCTTCTCCCACTCACAGACGTAGGCCAGGTCCATGGCGGCAAATCCTCTTCCCCAAGAGGGTCAGCCGCTGGATGGCTGAGGATGATGGATGGCTGCAGAAAGTGGTGGGCAGCCGCTGGGAGACACTGCATCCGATCCTAAGGGAAGCAATGGGGCGATAAGGTGTCTAAACCAGCCGTCTCTGAAACCTGGATAGGTTGGCCTCCAGCTCCCATCATCCTAGGGCTAGGGATGATGAGGGGGAAAGTCCACTGCCCCCATAAGCCCCCAAATTAGGAAAAGTTCTGTGACATTACAATGCAATGAGAGCAACCTTGTTCCTTCCCATCTTTTTCTCTTTTCAACAACACCCTCTATATTTATTTTAATTGGAATTAGGGGCAAGAGGGAAGACAAAATGGTGACACCATCCGAACTATTCCTTCCATGAAAAAAAAAAGCAGGAATTACTTCCAACTAAACAGGCCCACACCAGCAGAGGGTTCGGCCTGAATGGGTTTTAATTTTTTTAAATAAATTAAATTTAAATTCAAGGATGTTTTTTTAAAACCTCACGCTTTGAAGCAGCAAAGCTTGAACTCTTAAGGAAGTGGCCTCTGGACTCAGCCCCCTTTCCTCTGTGGCCTCCATTGAGCTGGTCTTTCATGGGTCATCCTACACACGCCCCCCCTCCCAGATGTGGGGTGGACTACAGCTCCCATCAGCCGCAGCCAGCAAGAACTAACGGTCCAGGATGATGGGAACTGCTCTCCCTTCAACCCATCTGGAAGGCTCACTCAGGCTTCAACCTTCTCCAAGGATGGGCTCCATGGCCCTCGCCCTGCACCCTGGGGGCGATGGGATCTGTAGTCCACACGCTCCAAAAGGCCTGCTTTTTAAAAAAAAACACAATTGTTTTTGCAGTCATTCCATTTTAAAGCACGTTTGCTTTGGCCACTGGCTTCCTCCAGGAAGACCCATCCTGGAACGCCTTCTCTCTTCCCCCTCCACCATAAACCACATTTGAGTGCATGAGGCTCCAATACTTTGGCCATCTCATGAGAAGAGAAGACTCCCTGGAAAAGACCCTGATGTTGGGAACGTGTGAAGGAAAGAGGAGAAGAGGACAGAGGACGAGATGGATGGACAGGATCACCGAAGCTACATATATTTAATTGCAATATATGTACATATACTTAATTGCAAAGTCTCTGGCTCACCCAGACGCCCTTCGCCCCTGGTTTTGCACCCAGACCTGAGCAATAATTGCCCCAGGAATCTATGAAACCTCCAGCAAATCAGGAGGTCCAGAAGCGGAAAACGGCCCATTTTACCTTTTCTTGGGGTTGCCCTCCCCCCCCAGTTCCGCAGCAAATGAACTCTTCCGTCCACCCTCCTTACCAAGCGCGTATGCAAGTTTCCCGCTTGCTCTGCGCCTGCGCCATCTGCTGGGACCTGGCCCTGCCCCCGCCCTCTCTATGGCTGACCTTTCAAAGTGCCTGATAGGCCCGTCTCAATTAAAAACAAAATTTGACAAAAACTTTCACTCAAGACAGAATTATGTTCCCTCTCAGTAGTGTGAAAAGTCTATTTTTAAGTGGGAGTATTCAAGCCGCTCGTTGATGAGGAGTGGGCAGTTGAAATAGATGAACGCTTTGGCTCCGAGGACCCCACCGCTCTGCCTCTCAGAGGGAAGGTCGGGTAGGCGTCGATTTGCATACGTCGTTTCCCATGGTGCACCGCCACAAGGTGGCTAAAGGTGTAGGTGGGAAAAATCTTAGTATATTTCTTTGAAAACCGAATTTTAATGTATCTTAGCAGAAAAGGAACGTAAGCCAGTTAGAAGATGAAACACAAATAACTAAACACTGGCCATCATAACATAAAAATATTTTCACATAAGAGGTTTATATACTCTTGAGAACCACTTACTGTTTGTGCTCGCTTCGGCAGCACATATACTAAAATTGGAACGATACAGAGAAGATTAGCATGGCCCCTGCGCAAGGATGACACGCAAATTCGTGAAGCGTTCCATATTTTGCACGCCAGGCCTGCACCATCTACACTAGTACTATACTTTTTTCCCTCTCTTCTAGGGGGTGCAAAGCCCACCTCTTGCTCACCCGGCGGAAAGGAAGGTCTTGCAACCCCTTCCCCAAAACAAAAAACGAGGGGGAGTCTCTTTTTTTGTAGCGGGGCCCCCCACCTTGATCCCTGCCGAACATCATCGTTGCTGCGTTGGATTTTATGGGGTACTGCCTCTGAGTTGGAACTTGCATGGCCCTAATGCAAAAAGGGGGTTCATCGCCCCCTCGATTCGTTTTTTTGGGAGGGGTTGCAAGACCTTCATTTCGGCGGGGTGAGCAAGAGGTGGGCTTTGCAACCCCTGGAAAAGAGGAAAAAAAGTAGAGTAGATGGTTCCCAGTGCGGGCCTCGCGTGCAAAATATGGAACGCTTCACGAATTTGCGTGTCATCCTTGCGCAGGGGCCATGCTAATCTTCTCTGTATCGTTCCAATTTTAGTATATGTGCTGCCGAAGCGAGCACAAACTAAGCTTGGGTTCAAACCTTATTTAAAGGTCCTAAATACGAATTCGTTTAGGTCACAATGATTTATGTGAATTGCATGCGTCTTTCTGTTTCTTATGGTTGATACCTTTTCTTCCTTTTTCACTGATTTCTGACATCCAAACTGTGCCTTGGAACTCTTATTTTAAGAGAAAACTCGCAAAAATTGCTCTAAGTGCTCCCCATTGCATTGTGGGAGGGCGCTATGCAGATCAAGGCTCCTCCCACCAAACCCAGGCAATTTTGCGCATCTCTCTGTTTTGCTCCAGCGCTAGGAAAGCAGGGGGGGGGTTGGATCTGTTGCCCCAACCCACCCTTTTTCCCCCAATGAATTGAATGAAGGTTCTCCCTTGTGAAAATAAAGAGCGAAAGAAAATTTACACCCAAGGGGAAACTTTTCCCAATTGCGCAGTACAATCCTATGCAAGCATTTTAGGAAGGAAACCTGGCAGTTTCTAACATCCCAATGCAGCGCAAATCATGCGCTGAGAGAGAGAGAGAGAGAGAGAGAAATTGATATTTCATCTTACGTCTAGTGAACCTGTGGTATCTTACAGGGGTCTCCTCGCCTCTCCTTTATCTTCACAACCAAGATAGGATTAAAATCTTACTAGAGATTGCGCCAGCCTTCCTTGCAAATCTTTAAGCAGCTGCGCGTCATCCTACGGCGCTACCGTGGGAACCCCTCACAAGATCGCTCGCTCCCTTTAGCGCAATAACCCTGGGGGAATGTGTGAGGGTGGGAGTGAGGACACGTTGCTTTGTCTGGACTACAAAACCCAGCATGCCTGCCCCCTCTGGAGGTCAGCCCGTATGGGGGCAAAGCCCAGACGCACTCAAGGGAGGGGTCGGTGGCTGCGCGCTCGCGCAAACAGGAGGAGAACGACGAGAGCGTCGTGCGGGGTCCTTCCGGAACTACAGCTCCCAGCAACCCCGGCCCTCCCCGGCCCACGGGGGAGGCTGGGAGCTGTAGTCCAAAGGCAGGAAAGCAACGCGCGCTCTCCCCGTGCTCCCCCAACCCCCCCCCAGCTCGATCCCGCGCGCTTTGCGCCCTTGGCGAGGGCGCGCCGGGGCAAAGTCCGGGGGTGCCACCGCTGCCGCCCTCCTCGGGCGCAGGGACCCATCCTGCCCGGCTGCTCAGCACCGCCCCTGCCCTGCCTTGCCTGGCCCTGCCCTTCCTTCGGCGGAAGAAGAGGCTTCCTGGGGGGCGGCGCAGAGCCCGGCCGGCCTTGGCGCAAGAGAGGAGAGGAGAGGAGATCCGGCCCGGCTCGATTGGCGGCAGGGGGGCAACCGCGGGGATGGTGGCGCTGAAGGCGGGCCGGGGAGGAAGAGGAGGAGGAAGAGGAGGGAGCCAGCTGGATGCGCTGCCGCCCCTGGAACAGCCGCCCCCCTGCGGGTGAGGGAGGGGTGGTGGGGGCAAGGGGTCTGCTCCAACCTGGACCTTTTTTGGGATGGGGAGGGAGGAGGACCCCTTGGGTGGATAGGTGGGCAGGGCAGGGCAGGGCAGGGCAGGGGTTCTTTGGCTCCCCCCTGACCCATTTTGTGTGTGTGTGTGTGTGTACACGTACATACGGTGCACATGGCTGGAGAAGTAAAGGTCCCGACAGCTGGACACCTTCCCCGCAATGGCCAGAAGGAAGGGGCAGGAGAGCAGAGGGGGGACCCCTCAGGGTGACCAGGGCCGTCCCTTCCTTCTGGAGGGTCTGGAGCTGAGGCTTGGGGGGGGAGGAAGAGAGTCCCAAGAGCCCTCCCTGCTGTGCCAGTGGTTAGGGTTTGTGCCACCCCCACCCCTGCACCAACAGGTGGTCTTGGGAAGATGGGGGGGGCAGGATCCTCTGCCCTGGGTGACTTCCTCTCTCTGGAGCAGGGCAGGGCAACCAAGGCAAGTTCCCAAATCAACTGGACAAGAAAGGGTTGCATTTTTTTTAAAAAAAGTTGCAGTTAAGGCACTTTTTGGAACAGCTGAGTAGGATTTTTCCAGTTTTCAAATGTGGATTTTTAAAAAATTAGTGGAGAGATTTTGAAAAAGTGAGTAACAATAACAAATCAACTTATAAAAGCACTATTAGATGACCCATTTACCATTTAAAAATAACTTATCCAAGGGCTGATATTTGCAGACTGCTTCTCCCATCCTGCTTTACCGTTTGCCAAGCTGGCTAAGGCCGATGGGACTCGGAGTCCAAAGACAGCCAAATGGCTCTGGTGCAGCAGGTTAAATCTACCCGAGGTGGAAGCGTGGGCTTTGGTTTTCCTGGGTAGAGCCTTTCGCCGCCAGCGCTCCGCTTGCTGTGTAGGACAGGGACCGGAGAAAGCTGAGGAGGAGCAGGGGCAGCTGGCGAGGAGATTGCTGGCAGAGGCGGGCAATTCCTTGCTTTAAGGGTCCGGCTTTGACGTCTTCCGTGATTAATAGACAGTAATCAATCAGTAACAAAGTCTCAGATATGCCTCTGAGCTCCCGTGGTGAGTAGAGCCTCCATGTTCCAAAGCAGTCTACCTTCGAGTTCCAAGATGCTAAGGAGCTCCCTAGCCTCGTTTTCAGCAAAGGTGGCCGGAGCGGGGCCTGAGGCCCCTCGTGCCAAGATGCCCTGACCAGAGAAAGGACAGGCCAGCTTGACTAACTCCTGGTTCTTCTTGGCTTGTGGTCCCTTCCAGGAGGATCGAGGACCACCTGCCTCCTTTGGGGGACACGCCACCGCCCGCCAAGCGGTTCTCACCTGCCCAGCGGAAGCAGTACTACATCAACCAGGCCATCCGCAACTCAGACCTCATCCCCCGGGCCAAAGGGCGTAAAAGCCTCCAGCGTCTGGAGAACAGTAAGCCTCTGGCCAGGGAATTCTCTCTCTCTCTCTCTCTCTCTCTCTGGTGAAATCTTCCGAGAGGCAGCCACGCCGTCTGTCTGTTTTGGCATCACTTTAAAAAGAAGAAAAAAAGAAGTTTGAACAATTATAATCGAGGGTCTGTGTTTTTCCCCAGCCCGTTACCTCATGACCCTTCTTGAGCGGGAGGAGTGTGTGAGCGAGGAAGGAGAGTCTGGCCACCCAGCCACCCCGAGCATCTTCACCGAGGCCTGTAACAACAAGACGTACATGCAGGTACGGGGCCCGGTTGCTTCGTGGAACTCAGACCTACAGGAGCCGTTCAGTGTCAGATGCCCGAACCCGAACCTAACCCTTCACCTGGCCTCTGTTTGTCACTCCAGAGTTATCTCTGGGTACTCCGGTGCTGAATTACAGCAAGGGCACTTTGCAAGACCTCAGGTGCTCTGCAAGCTGGTTAAAATAACCTTGGGAAAACCTGAGCTGCTGAGTCAAATTGGACTTTGCTAAAGCTCAGAAATGCCCAGTGTTTTTAACAGATGGAGGAATATGAGCTCTATGAGTAAGAATGTTGAATTTGTTTTTAACCAGTTACTGGCTCAGGTTGGGAGAGCGTACCTCTACCTAAGATTGACACCGCATGGCAAACGCAACGGTGTATCTCCCCAGTGTGGACAGCTTCTACTCCCAGAATCCAAAATTGTGCCTTCTGTGTTGTTTTCTTCAAGCGCTAGGGAGGCGAACGTTGCCGCTGAACCTCTTCTACATAAGCGTAGAAGACAGGTTTGCCAGGTTGAAAAAGGTCTGGTTTGATTGAGCAACTCAGGTTTTGCCTAGCGTAGTTTAATTGACTTGCAGAGGTACCGGAGGTCTTGCAAAGCAAACTTTAATTTAGCACCAAACTACCTGGGGAAAGTCTCGGGAGTGACAAACAGAAGCCAGCCTGTGGGGTGGAGCGTCCAAAGGGTGGCACAACAGGATATCGTTTCAATGAGTAGACCGGTTACGAAAGAGGCAGACGAAGTGAACTTGAAGTTCCCCTTGGGAAGCCAAGGTCGGGGCAGAGGAAGGAGATGTTAGGGCGTGCCGAAAGGGCTGCTTAAGTCCTTCCGTGGTTGGGTGACTCTCCTTTGTAAACATAACTGAACAGTCATCCTTCTTTTTTCCTGTCCCAGCCCTTCTAAGGACCCAGAGCGAAACCCAACCAAAGTTTGTTTGTTTTCTTATAAGCCTGGGCCTTTGGGCGGGAGCAGATCTGCAGGGTTTTCTCCCTCCACCTTCTGTGAGCAAGGGAGACCTGGGGTGGGTGGAAAAGGCTAAGCAGGTTGGACACCACCTCCTGCTAAATGCTCCCGGCCTGGGTGGCCATCCTGGCACTCTCTCTCTCTCTCTCTTTTGGAAAGGAGGAATGTATTTTCAGGAAATACTGGGTCTGAAAAACAAAAGAGAACAAAAGACTGGTTAGAAAGTTAAGGGGGGGGGAAAGAGAGTCCAGATATGGGTCCAGGACAGGCGTGGGCGTCCCTCAAGCGCCTGGACTGAGTCAGCGTGAAGCATCCCATTGAATAATGGGAGCATCCACAGCCCAGGTGGCCATGGGGCGAACGTCTCAGGGGTGGGTGTGTTTGTGTGTCTCCGGGCTAGATCTGGAATGACTTCATGAACCGGTCGGGGGAGGAGCAGGAGCGCCTCCTCCTCTACTTGGAGGAAGGAGCGAGGAGGAAGCAGAGCCACAAGTGGAATTCCCGCAAGGCCTTGGAGGAAGGAGAAGAGGAGGAGGTGGCCTGGGAAGGTAGGCGGAAGGGGAGGAGGAGGAGGAGGAAGAAGCTGAAGCAAAAAAAAAACCCTTTGTCCGTCCTGCAGAGGGAACCTCCCCAGACAGGAGCAATCTACCTCTGAAGGACTTGTCCCTTGGGACCAGGCCATTTCTTTCCAGGCCTCTTTTGGGGGCTTCAGGAGAGAATCTAATTCATGCCTCACTGGCTGGCAGAGCAGGCTGGTGTTCAACAGGTTGTGTTCCCAGCCGGAACTTTTTCATTTTCGCCTTCTTTCTTTACTTGGTGCCACAGAGCGTCTGGCGTACACCCCCAAGGAGTGTTTTCAGCGCATCAGCCGACGTTTACGCATGACCTTGAAGCGAAGTCGGATCCCCATGGTATGTCCTTAGGTTTCCCTCCTTTTTTAAATTAGAAACTGACAGATTTAAGGGCCTCGTTTTCCAAATGAGATACATTTGCTAGCCAAGTAAGTTCTTCTTTCCCATGGATAGAAAAAAACGTGGCTCACTTATCTCTCTCTTTTATCTTTTGTGTCTAAGAGTCAACTGAAGTGTGAGTTGTCCTTTGCCAACAAAAAGCTCCCGCAGGTCAGGTAGCTGTTAAAGGCATAGGAGCAGAACGGGACTGAAAGCTGGCAACCCTTGCTTGTTAAACAGAGCAGCAGCAGCAGTGGTCATCCATGAATGCATTTTTTTCTGCTTTCTATATAAGATTTGGCAAAGAGATTATAAGACGCTGACGCTTTGGGTCCAAGCCTTTTTGCAGGATAGGGGTCCAAACCTCGCATTCGGAAGAGGGCATCCAGAGCCGCGTGGGTGTCTCGGCTCCTGTCATGCCGAAATTTAATTTTTCTTTCCTTGACCGTCTTCTGTGGCGCGGCCTCGCCCGTCCCAACTTAACAGGCCGTGCTTGTTATTTTCGTAGGAGACACTGGAAGGTTTGGAAGAAGAGTTACTGGCCTTTTTCTCCGCTGACCCTCACGCCGTCTACACGGCACTGATGGACAACAGGTAGCCGTGGTTTGTGCTTGGCCTTCGGGGTTCCTGCTGAAGCATGACGTGAGGGGAGAGGTTATAAGCCACTTTACTTGCTGCCATGGCTGATGGGCCTGTTTGAAACCCTTGTGGGGGGTCACAAATGTCTGAGAAGTTTTAGAAGCTTTTGCTACGGATCTCAGGGGAAGGTTTATGCAGTCATTCTCTTTCTTTCCTGCAGTTTTAAACGGCTTCTCCTGCATGCGCTGTGCCAGTACATGGACCTCAAGTCTGCCAGTGAGAAACTTAATTTCTAATCTATGTTTGTGCGTGTGTGTCTATCTTGTTGGTTGGTGTTATTTTTACCACTATCTCTCCTGTCCAGTTTCTTTCTGGGTCTCCTCCCCTTTTTTTTGCATTCTGGCCTTCCAGGCTGACGGGTAAAGAAATTTCTTCCAAAACCCCAATCTAGAAATTTAACGAAGCCGTTTTAGCTTTCTCTTAATTGAGGAGTAAGGGTGAATGGAAAACTACTCTGCCAGATTCTTGAGGGGCCTTAAACCCAGGCCAGTGGCCTCTCAATATAGGGGTGACCCAGATCATCTGCCTGTTGATAAAACCTCTGGAACTTGTCATCCAACCCTCTGGAGCCCCTGGTGTAAACAATACTGCTCTAGATCTGATTTCCAGTTTTAAGAGCTTTGACATTATAAACTGATGCCCCCCTGGGCCTATGCAGATTTTTTTTTGTTTGTTTCATTTTGTTTGTTCATGGGGGGGGGGAATCTGGCACTGGGAGGGACTTGCATGTTAATCAGTGTTTTCCCTGAAATCTCTCCCCCCCCCCGCAAAGGTTCCAGTTATGAAGGCAAGCGGCAGATGAGGGTCATCAACCGGCGCACCGTCTTCCTGCCCCCGCAGCTCTTGCTTTCGACTTATTTGGAGCAAATTAGCTGGTAACCCTCGGAAGAAGGACCTACGACGACGACGAGAGCCCACCCAACCCCTGACAGCCGTCCAGATCTCAGCTTGGGGGGGCCCTCGAACCCTCCCATATATTTATATTTTAAAGCAGTGAAATCAAGGGGTCGGTGGGCCCCCAACAGGCTGGTTAGCACAGCAGAACTTGGAAAAAGACCTGTTTTCATGTTTTGTATTCTTGGAGGTGGGGAGCGGAGATTCTGGGATTTGTAATCCAAAAATGTAACTTTTCCAAGACCACAGCGTGTTTTGGGATCACCCTCCCCCCAAAAAAACACATCTCCAAAGATACAAATTAACCACCCCGTGTGTGTCCGTGTGTCTCTTGTTCTGTTTTGTCTGAGCATCCAAGTTGGCTTGTGGTTGCTTAGCAACGGCCTTCCATTTCCCCCTCTTCCTTCTGTCCCCCCCCAAAAGGTTGCTGCTAAGCAACCACTGGCTTCTGGTCCTTCAGGGCTCCCTGGGGGGAAGTAGGCCTCAGGCCTCTTTGGGGGGGCCACCAGACGAGACCCTTCCCGTCCCCATCAGTAATTTTGCTTGAGAAAGCTTCCTCTGTGCCCTTAGTGTTGTTTTTTAATTGATTTTCCCCTTCCTCCTTTATTGGTTCTGTTACCTAGAAACTGGGTGCTAACAGTTAATTTTAAAAGTTTTAAAAAAGAACCACATTTAGGCCAAGACCCCAAATTTTGCCTCCCCCCCCCTCCATAGTATTTCTGGATGAAATTTGTGTGGGGAAAATGACCAGGTTATTTTATTTCTGCTTCTGGGTTAATTTGGATTTATGCAGTTTTGCAGCCTAATTGACTCAGAAGGAAGCCTCACCATTTGGGGGAGTGAGGGGAAGGGGACTTGAATTGGATTTGAAATAGAAGCACCATAGAGCTGAGGTTGTGATTTTTCATTTAAGGAGAAAATGTAAAAGGTTGTAACTCTTGTTTGACTTAGCACTTAAGAGGAATTTAAAGAAAACGAAAAAAAAATCACTTTTCTAAATTTTCAATTTAAGAGATCTGCATTTTAAGTGCTTTTTAATTTTTCTGGACTATACAGCACCCATTATTCTTGTGTCCATGCTGGCTGGGAGCGGGTTCTGGGGTCTGTTGTCCAGAAATAACATTTGAAAGCACACGTTCTTGTACACATGTGACTTTTGATATGGTGCCACCCCTAATAAGACCCTGTCTTATCACACTTGTCCTTGGTCTGCACAGTCAAACTGCCTCATTTTCTAGACATGGGAATGGCAATTTCAGAGTTCAGCCGGCCCATTTTGTAAAATGTAATATAGTGTATCTTTTATATATAAAAATACACCAATTTGTGTATGTAAATAGGTTATTTCCCATTCAGAATTCATAAGGATTTCCTTTTTTCTTTTTTAAGCACCCGGAATTATCCCTGTGTCTGCTGATTTCTTGCAGCTTTGGCAGAATAGGGTAAAATCATGCATACTGTCTCCCTGTTCTTAAAACATGTTATTATTGTGCCATAAAGTGCCATCCTATATTTTGCTGTGATGTGGAAGAAGTCCATACAAGATGCGAGGGTAGAAAAAAGAAATTCAGAGACAGTTTCTAGCTGGAAATTTGTTTTGCTTCGTCATCAGCTTCCCTAAGAAAATGTTTAATAAAATGGAGGTGACGGCTGGTGAGGTTTATAAATAGATCTCGGGATGCAGATCTTTTATGTGGAAGAAGTCCATACAAGATGCGAGGCTAGAAAAAAGAAATTCAGAGACAGTTTCTAGCTGGAAATTTGTTTTGCTTCGTCATCAGCTTCCCTAAGAAAATGTTTAATAAAATGGAGGTGACGGCTGGTGAGTTTTATAAATAGATCTCGGGATGCAGATCTTTTTATAGATGGCAGCGAGGATTTTCTGGTTGCTGTTTTTCTTTTTAAAAAAAATGGTTGATTAAATCTAGATGGAAATTCTTCCCTGCTGGGAACTGTTCCTTTCACTTCCCAGAGAGAAAAACTTCAGGGTAATGCACGAAATAAAATTCACTTCCCTTGTGTGCTTCTCTGCCCTTTCCCTTTGGAAAGATGTGGGTGCACGTTTCAGAAACGATGTTGTGTCTGAAGTCTCGCGGATGTGAGCCACCATTTCTGCATGTGTCTTTTGTTTGGGCATTAACTCGATCACAGACACGACAGGCACATCTGCAGTGAGCCTTACTAGGCCTTTAAAGAAGAAGCAATACAGAACTGTAGAGGAGCTGTGACGGTCATCTCTCGGTTTGTACGTCCTTTACGAGGAAGCTCAAATG